ACCCCAACCCCTGCCATTCCCCCACAAGGTGCCCACCTATGGCACCCTCCCCCATCCCCCCTCCTCAGGATCTTCCTTCTCCCCTATCAACCCCCAGCCCTCCCTTCTCCCCCTCCCCCAAGCCCTCCATTCTTCCCCCCTAAACCCTCCAATATCCCCCCCTAGGACCTCCCTTCTCCCGCACTCCCATCTTCCTCATTCCCCCATCCTCCCCCCCCCCCAAGCCCTCCATCCTCTTCTGCCCCCCTTCCCCCCAAGCCTCCCCTTCTCCCACACTCCCCCAAGCCTCCCCCTCTCACCTCCCTCTCTCAAAGCCTCCCCCTCCTCCCCACCCCCAAGCCCTCTTTTCTCCCCAACCCCTCCCTCCTCCACTACCCCTCTCCTTACCAGATCCTCCCAGCCCCCACACACCCCAGATCCCCCAGGTCTCCCTTCATAGGCCCTCCCATCCAGGACCCTCCCTGTTTCCCTGTTTCAGGGGGAACCAATAGAAACTGAGAAAGGACAGAAAAGAGTCAGTTTCAGGGTGATGTACTCGAACATAGATGGGATTACAAGCAAGGCAAGTGAACTAAGGGAAAGAGCACAAGAAGTGAACCCAGATGTAATCAGACTCACAGAAACAAAAATTTCAGGAATTATAATGAATGCGATGTTTCCCCAGGACTACACTGTAATAAAGAAAGAGACGGAAGGTAGGGGTAGGAGGTGGAGTGTCCCTATTAATGAGAAAGGAATGGAGTTTCAAGGAGATGGTTATCCTGGGCTGCGAGGGATTCAGAGACTACATAACAGGCACCATGACAATGGGAGGACCAAGAGTAGTAGTAGCAGTGATATATAACCCTCCACCAAACGACAGAAGACCAAGGCAAGAGTATGACAACAACAACATGGCAGTTAACACTATAATTGAGAGGGCAGCCTCTGCTGCCTGTAGAAATAGATCCCATCTGCTCATCATGAGGGACTTCAATCATGGAAGGATAGACTGTGAGAACAAGGAACCGCATGGAGGCGAGGATACATGGATAGCCAAACTATTGGAGGTGGGGACAAGAAACACTTTAAGCCAGCATGTCAGGGAACCCACAAGGATGAGAGGAAACGATGAACCAGTGAGACTCGACCTAGTCTTCACTCTGAACGACTTCGACATAAGGGAAATCGGTTTCGAGGCCCCAGTAGGAATGAGCGACCACAGGGTACTGGTGTTTGAGTATCTGGTTGAAGAAGAGTTATTGAACTCGAGGAGGGGTACTGAAAATAAAAAGACTGGCATTCCGAAAGGGAAACTTTAAGGAAATAAGAACAGATATAAAAGAGGGAAACAGAGCTCTGGGAAAAGACGGCCCGGGGGAAAGACGGACCAGACATGATGGACTACATCACGCAGAAGTGTAAGGAAGCAGCAAACAAGTTTGTCCCAGTATAAAAGGAAAACAATGAAATGAAGATGAGAAACCCATGGTTTAATCAGAGATGTAGGCTAGCTAAGCAGCAAAGTGAAAGTGTGTGGAGAAACTATAGGAATAACAGGACACTTGAGAGCAGAGGAAGATACCAGAGTGCCAGGAACGCATACGTCAGGTTGAGAAGAGAGGCAGAAGGGCAATACGAAAATGACATCGTAAGCAAGACAAGGACTCGACCTAAATTTCTTAATGAAATTAAGGATAGGGGCAGACGCATTCACCACAAATGACAAGAAATTGTGCGAGGAACTAAATAAGAAATTCCAGGAGGTCTTCACTTTAGAGCAAGGAGAAGTTCCAGAGATAAGATAGGGAATAGTAAACCAGGAACTTACTCACACACACAGTGTGTGTGGATAAGGGAATACCTAAGCAATAGGAAGCAGAGAGTTATAGTGAGGGTGAGACCTCAGATTGGTGTGAAGTCACCAGTGGAGTCCCACAGGGCTCTGTACTTGGTCCTATCCTGTTTCTGATATACGTAAATGATCTCACGGAGGGCATAAACTCATTCCTCTCAATGTTTGCTGACAATGCTAAAATTATGAGAAGGATTAAGACAGGAGGACTGCGTGAGGTTTCAAGAAAACCTAGACAAACTGAAGGAATGGTCGAACAAATGGTTGTTAGTTTAACCCAAGCAAATGTAATGTAATGAAGATAGGTGTAGGGAGCAGGAGGCCAGATACAAGGTATCATTTGGGAGATGAAATTCTTCAAGAGTCAGAGAGAGAGAGAGAAAGACCTGGGGGTTGATATCACGCCAGACCTGTCCAGAAGCCCATATCAAGAAGATAACATCAGCAGCATATGCCAGGATGTCCAACATAAGAATGGCATTTAGAAACTTTTATCAGGAATCATTCAGAACTTTGTAAACCACCTATGTCAGACCAATCCTGGAGTATGCAGCCCCAGCATGGAGTCCATATCTAGTTAAGCATAAGACTAAACTGGAGAAGGTTCAAAGGTTTTGCCACCAGACTAGTACCCGGGCTGAGAGGTATGAGCTACTAGGAGAGACTACGGGAATTAAACCTCATGTCGCTGGAAGACAGAAGAGTTAGAGGGGATATGATCACCACATACAAGATTCTCAAAGGATTTGATAGGGTAGATAAAGACATGCTCTTTAACACTAGGGGACACAGGTGGAAATTGAGTGCCCAAATGAGCCACCGAGAAAATTAGAAAATTAGAAATATTAGAAAAAAACATTTTTAGTGTCAGAGTGGTTGACAAATGGAATGCATTAGGCAGTGATGTGGTGGAGGCTGACTCCATCCATAGTTTCAAGTGGAGATATGATAGAGCCCAATAGGCTCAGGAACCTGTACATCAGTTGATTGACGGTTGAGAGGCGGGACCAAAGAGCCAAAGCTCAACCCCTGCAAGCACAACTAGGTAAGTACACACCACGCCTCTCAAACAATATATAAGAGGCACTGTGGGGCGGCCCGCGTGGCCCACACATCACTTGGCCCGCACATGGCCCTCATTGGCCCACATTTAACACTGTTAATGACCCTACCCACTCGTTACAATTCGCGCTATGAACACCGCCCTTTACGTTGGGTCTACAATAATTAACGACACTGTTTTTCTTAGACCACTCTTCTTGCCACGATTGGTAATGAATACAAACAAAAAAATATGCGCCACGATGGCCTGTACATGACTGTTACTCCAGTGAGCTCGTCCACCTGATCCTATCCCCTCTCTCTGGCTCTAACCCACTCTCTCTAACCACAACCATCAAGCACAATCACTATCATGGTAACAGTGATACTGATCTACACATTGTCAACAATTTTACCTCAAAATTAAACTGTTAACACTCTTCCGTGTAATTTTAAGGGCCCAAAAGCCACCGCTGCCAATCTTGAGGTTATCTTGAGATGATTTCGGGGCTTTAGTGTCCCCGCGGCCCGGTCCTCGACCAGGCCTCCACCCCCAGGAAGCAGCCCGTGACAGCTGACTAACTCCCAGGTACCTATTTACTGCTAGGTAACAGGGGCATTTAGGGTGAAAGAAACTTTGCCCATTTGTTTCTGCCTCGTGCGGGAATCGAACCCGCGCCACAGAATTACGAGTCCTGCGCGCTACCCACCGAGGCTACGAGGCCAAAGACGGTGGCAGTTTCTGGAAGCTGTACTTATAAGAAGGTAAGGGAATTATCAGGAGAAACCGCCAAGCTAATACGACTATATGGTATTTGAAGGGTTCAGGATAAGGATTTGGGATGGGACGGGGGGAAGGAATGGTGCCCAACCACTTGGACGGTCGGGGATTGAACGCCGCCCTGCATGAAGCAAGACCGCTGCTCTACCGTCCAACACAAGTGGTAGGAACTATACTTATACGAGAAAAACTACCCACCTTAAACATAGAGAATAAAGACTTCGTTTCCTTACCAACACTCAGACCGAGACCTCACCAAACATGACTGGATAACGGCGTCTCTCCCGAGGTCTTCACACCCACCAGTGTGTTACCTAGTGCTTTACCAGTGTCTAAATGGCCCTTACCTTACCTTTCCCTGTGTTAATTGGTCTTACCCCCCTTACCCTATGCTTGCCTGCCCCTTCCCCATCCCACACACTACCGACACCCGCATGTGTATTTAACCAAAGTGTAAATCTTGTATTCATTCTTTACCTACAGATCTTCCAGAGAGGAAAACATTGAATACTAAAGTAAATCTTTTAATACTTACCCGTTTCACTTACCATGAATGGTAACTTTTGGTAAGAATCACAGAGCGCTTACACTGTATCATCAACAACTCCAGCAATGAGGTCATGTTTAACATTTTTCAGCACGAAAATTAACACGTGATGAAAACTATGACAGTCAGACCACGAAGGAAGAATTGAAACAGGAATTTTCACAAGTACTTTCGTATTTAATAATACATCTTCAGAAGGGTATTCTGAAGATGTATTATTAAATATGAAAGTACTTAAGGAAATTTCCTGTTTCAATTCTTCGTTCGTGGTCGAACTATATATATATATGTATATATATATATATATATATATATATATATATATATATATATATATATATATATATATATATATATATATATATGTGTGTGTGTGTGTGTGTGTGTGTGTGTGTGTGTGTGTGTGTGTGTGTGTGAAAGCTTTTGAAGGCGCACAAGACATATATGTGATACAACATTAGGTTATTTAGATGCCATAGGCCTAGCTACTGAAAGTGGTAAGTCTAGGATGCAACGGTGATACTAGTAGTGGTGATGGTGATGATGTTGATCGCTGCGATTGTGATTCTGTTGGTGGTGGTCATAATGATGGTGATAGTGGAGGTGGTGATAGTGGTGATGGTGGTGGTAGTAGCTGACAGTGGTGACGCGGGTAATAAACAGGAAGACATAGTAGGGGGGCTCACCGTGAGGGAGTGGTGATGGTGATAGTGGTGATGGTGATGGGGGCGAGAGTGATGGTGATGGGGGTGATAGTGATGGGGTGACAAACAGGAAGACACAGTAGGGGGGCTCACCGTGAGGTAGTGAGCAGTAGCCTTGCTCCGGGTTGTGTTCTGAGGACCAAAACAGACCAAAATTAGACGCCACACGCACACATCTTTCCCACAAATATTACACTCAATACATACACCTACAATACATTAATGGCATGTGACTAATACACAAATGTGTATTAACATGTTTGTGAATGCAAGAATATACTCTACAACATGTGTTTTATATATATATATATATATATGTAAACCTTTTTCAATGATTGCATCTCTTTTCAGAAGCAGAAGCCTAATAATAATAATAACACACAGAACATACATTGTTGTGACGTCCCGCATCAAGGGATTGTGAAAATTAGAAAAAGATTTTCAAGGAAATTTCACAGAATCGGTTCCACGGATGAGGCCTGACGGCTGAATGGACAACGCTCGGGTTTCGTAGTCATAGGGTCCGGGGATTGATCCCCGGCGGAGACGGAAACAAATAGACAGAGGTTCTTTTACCCTGATGCCCCCTGTTCACCTAGCCGTAAATAGGTACCTGGGAGTTAGACAGCTGCTACGGGCTGCTCCCTGGGTGTATGCATATGTGTGTAAAAAAAAAACTAAACACACAACTAGGTGAGTACAGACAAAGCAACTCGAGAATTTGTGAACAATCTTAAACGAGGTGGTTCAGTACAAAGTGGGATTCATCTTACAGTACACACCTTACATCTTACACACCTTACATCTTACAGTACACACCTTACATCTTACACATCTTACAGTACACACCTTACATCTTACACACCTTACATCGTACAGTACACACGTTACACATGTTACAGTACACACCTGTAAGATAGGAAGTATACTGGGATTGACACACAACACATGTTCAAAGTTCACAATAAATATTTTACTTATGATTTATATATCTGTTTTTGCATCGAAATTAGGTAATAACATCGTAATAAGATGATAAAGTTATGTACGTTTTTAATAGATTCGTTCGATTTCATAGAAATATATAATTCTGGAACACCCTATATATAAATGCAAATGTATATGGGCAAGTAATATTGGAATATTGGAATAGCAATGGGAATAGTAATATTATTAATAGTAATATTCCAAAATTGGAATAGTAATATTGGAATAGCAATATTGGGCAAGTTATATATATATATATATATATATATATATATATATATATATATATATATATATATATATATATATATATATATATATATGCGAACAAGCCTGAATGGTCCCCAGGACAATATGCAACTGAAAACTCACACCCCAGAAGTGACTCGAACCCATACTCCCAGAAGCAACGCAACTGGTATGTACAAGACGCCTTAATCCACTTGACCATCACGACCGGACATAATGAGGTGATAGCCGAGGCTATTTGAACCACCCCACCGCCGGCACTCGGATAGTAATCTTGGGCATAGCATTTTACCAAATCACCTCATTCTTTGGGGCACACGTGAGGAACACAAATGCGAACAAGCCTGAATGGTCCCCAGGACAATATGCAACTGAAAACTCACACTCCAGAAGTGACTCGAACCCATACTCCCAGAAGCAACGCAACTGGTATGTACAAGACGCCTTAATCCACTTGACCATCACGACCGGACATAATGAGGTGATGGTTCAAATAGCCTCGGCTATCACCTCATTATGTCCGGTCGTGATGGTCAAGTGGATTAAGGCGTCTTGTACATACCATTTGCGTTGCTTCTGGGAGTATGGGTTCGAGTCACTTCTGGGGTGTGAGTTTTCAGTTGCATATTGTCCTGGGGACCATTCAGGCTTGTTCGCATTTGTGTTCCTCACGTGTGCCCCAAAGAATGAGGTGATTTGGTAAAATGCTATGCCCAAGATTACTATCCGAGTGCCGGCGGTGGGGTGGTTCAAATAGCCTCGGCTATCACCTCATTATGTCCGGTCGTGAGCAACTCGGCCTACTATGCAAGGCCCGATTTGCCTAATAAGCCAAGTTTTCATGAATTGTTTTTCGACTACCTAACCTAACTTTTTCGGCTACCTAACCTAACCTAACCTATAAAGATAGGTTAGGTTAGGTAGGGTTGGTTAGGTTCGGTCATATATCTACGTTAATTTTAACTCCAATAAAAAAAATTGACCTCATTCATAATGAAATGGGTTGCTTTGTCATTTCATAACAAAAAAATAGAGAAAATATATTAATTCATGAAAACTTGGCTTATTAGGCAAATCGGGCCTTGCATAGTAGGCCGAGAAGTGCGTTCTGGCTACTAGGTACGACATACATTATATATAATATATATAATATATATATAATATATAAAATATATATATATATATATATATATATATATATATATATATATATATATATATATATATATATATATGTGTGTGTGTGTGTGTGTTGTACCAAGTAGCCAGAACGTCGTACTCGGCCTACTATGCAAGGCCCGATTTGCCTAATATGCCAAGTTTTCCTGAATTCATATATTTTTCAATATTTTTTTCTTATGAAATGATAAAGCAACCCATTTCATTATGTACGAGTTATTTTTTTAAAATTTGAGTTAAAACTAACGTAGATTTTTTTTTTTTTGAGATATATAAAGGAGTTGTTACATTCTTGTAGAGCCACTAGTACGCGTAGCGTTTCGGGCAGGTCCCTGGAATACGATCCCCGCCGCGAAGAATCGTTGTTACAACCAAGTACTCATTTTACTGTTGAGTTAAACAGATTTACGCCCAGTAAATCCTCCCCGGCCAGGATAGGAACCCATGACAAAGCGCTCGCGGAACACCAGGCGAGTGTCTGACCACTGCACCACGGGGACTAAAGATAGATATATGACCGAACCTAACCAACCCTACCTAACCTAACCTATCTTACCCTAACCTAAACTAACACAATTAACTCAATAATATATGTTATTAATAAAATATAATAATAATTCAAATAAACTAATTGGAAACAATTTATTGAAAATATAGAAAATCACTCGGCCTATCAGGCAAATCGGGCCTTGCATAGTAGGCCGAGTAGTGTGTTCTGGCCACTAGGTACGACATATATATTTATATATATGAACAAAGTAATAAAATCAAGGCAGAGGTGTGAGAAGGAGCGCAGTATCTCATGACTCGACAGGAACGACGCAGAAGGTAATTACTGGCCCCAAACTACTAAACACTGGATCTTTTATTTTATTTACAACCAGCACCACACAATTATCTTTGCGATATCGACCACACAAATGGCTAAGAAACGGGGATAATGAAGGTCAAGGAGGCAAGGTTCACTCAGCCCAATATACCTCCCTCACCAAAGGTGTTCTGGCATAATATAGCACAAAGGTGCACAGAAGTGACACTATATCAATGAGATATATGATATATAACGTGACTATATAGATGACAATGACGTGAGCGGTGGGTGGCGGCGCCTCACAGCGCCTAGGGGTTGTCTCAGTGTTAAGACAGGCGGACACTTCCATCAGTGGTGTTACACGAGGTGTAGTACACCAGTTAACTGTATGTGGAATAGTGAAGATGGCCACAGGTGTATAATAGATGGCTACAGGTGTATAATAGATGGCTACAGGTGTATAATAGATGGCTACAGGTGTATAATAGATGGCTACAGGTGTATAATAGATGGCTACAGGTGTATAATAGATGGCTACAGGTGTATAATAGATGGCTACAGGTGTATAATAGATGGCTACAGGTGTATAATGATATATAGCTACAGGTGTATAATGATATATAGCTACAGGTGTATAATGATATATGGCTACAGGTGTATAATGATATATGGCCACAGGTGTATAATGATATATGGCCACAGGTGTATAATGATATATGGCTACAGGTGTATAATGATATATGGCTACAGGTGTATAATGATATATGGCCACAGGTGTATAATGATATATGGCCACAGGTGTATAATGATATATGGCCACAGGTGTATAATGATATATGGCCACAGGTGTATAATGATATATGGCCACAGGTGTATAATGATATATGGCTACAGGTGTATAATGATATATGGCCACAGGTGTATAATGATATATGGCTACAGGTGTATAATGATATATGGCCACAGGTGTATAATGATATATGGCCACAGGTGTATAATGATATATGGCCACAGGTGTATAATGATATATGGCCACAGGTGTATAATGATATATGGCTACAGGTGTATAATGATATATGGCTACAGGTGTATAATGATATATGGCCACAGGTGTATAATGATAGATGGCCACAGGTGTATAATGATATATGGCCACAGGTGTATAATGATATATGGCTACAGGTGTATAATGATATATGGCCACAGGTGTATAATGATATATGGCTACAGGTGTATAATGATATATGGCCACAGGTGTATAATGATATATGGCCACAGGTGTATAATGATATATGGCTACAGGTGTATAATGATATATGGCCACAGGTGTATAATGTTATATGGCTACAGGTGTATAATGATATATGGCTACAGGTGTATAATGATATATGGCCACAGGTGTATAATGTTATATGGCTACAGGTGTATAATAGATGGCTACAGGTGTATAATGATATATGGCCACAGGTGCATAATGATAGATGGCCACAGGTGTATAATGATATATGGCCACAGGTGTATAATGATATATGGCCACAGGTGCATAATGATAGATGGCCACAGGTGTATAATGATATATGGCCACAGGTGTATAATGATATATGGCCACAGGTGTATAATGATATATGGCTACAGGTGTATAATGATAGATGGCTACAGGTGTATAATGATAGATGGCTACAGGTGTATAATGATAGATGGCTACAGGTGTACAATAGATGGCTACAGGTGTACAATAGATGGCTACAGGTGTACAATAGATGGCTACAGGTGTATAATGATAGATGGCTACAGGTGTATAATGATAGATGGCTACAGGTGTATAATGATAGATGGCTACAGGTGTATAATGATAGATGGCTACAGGTGTATAATGATAGATGGCTACAGGTGTATAATGATAGAT